AGCATGTCCAAAGTCCCTCTATGTTTGGAGCTGGAACCTTGTCTATGATCTGAGGTGCTTTCATATTAGCAGGCACAGAGGTACAAACAAACATCAAGGACTCAGATAGGTAAGGGGTCTTTTTATGAACCACGTGGGAGAAGCATTTGGTCTTAAATGTTCATTCTCTACTGCTCGTTCTTATGTTCATTCACTGTTCATTCTTAGTCTAAAACATAATTCTTCAAGCCTTCACACCAATTAAAAGGTGGAAGCAGCACATTAAAAACCCTTCACTGGAAACACCAACAGCCACATTGCACAGCAGTTTTCCAGTGTGTTTACTGATAGTGAGTGAGATTTGAAGTAGAAGGCAGAAGATCATAAGGTGGCGCAGAAGGATGGTAAAGGAGACAAATCCACAATCACACATCTTACTCTGTCTGTCCTTCACTGATTACCTACAACAGTCCTTGGCAGGCTGGAAGGGAGGAGAAGGGGAGAAGATACCAAGTTTTCAGTCAGGTCCATACTAATACCAGCTTTGTCAGAACACAGCCTAGTTGATTTTGTAAAAGAGAAAAAGCTAGGAATTACTCATCTTTTTGGAAATTAACATACAACAGAAAGTACCTTTTCCAGAGTATTTTTTCTTTTTTATTTTAGATCACGAATTAATACAGTAGTTTTGTATGATGGTCCCCAGTGAGTTAGGCTGATACACTGATCAGAATATTAATGATCAATAAATGGCGAGTAAAGACATACCTTCCAATCTTTAAAAGCAGTGTTGTCAGAAAGCAAATCCTATTGCTTCCTACCAAAATACCAATTCCAAGAGCTCCCTATTTCGTGTAATCTATCTGACCCATGTGTCTTTTGACAGGTCCTATGACAACGAACTGAATGTTCTAAATCCATAATTTTGCAGGCTCTCTCCTAAAACACACAGCACAAACCACTGTGCATTAGCTGCCAACACAGTACTCAAAATAAGCTCTGTGTTTCCCCACAAACATCAGCCAAATAGAGGCTTACCTTCGGGAGATCTTTAGACTAGCTTCGGTCATCATCACTGAAGATGCTTTGTACCTACAGCCATCAGAGCAACCAACTTACACAAGAGGGAAAGTGTCAAGTTAAATCCTGTATTTGTAAAACTGAAATTGTCAAAGACTGCAGATATCTCACCTAGGGTTTATTTGTAGAGTGGTTTGGAGGTTTTATTGTAGTACCTTAAATCAGAAGTTTTGGGTGGCTATTCAAGTTTAGAAGCATTTGAACTCTACACTCTGATTCTCTACAGAAGATTCTGAAAGCTTTTGAACAGGAAAAGCTAGTATTCAGCTTGTGCCTCAGCAATTACCATAGAGCAACGCCAAGATTGTGTCTTTGCTAAGGAGGAAGCCATGGTAAGTTTTCTGTATGATCGTACTTACAGTCTTCCAGCATACTTCAGCTTCATGCCCTGTAAGAGAGACAGCCTAGGAAAGCAGACGAAGATGTTCGGAATGCTATCAGATACCATTAGCTTTGCAGTGAATCAACACAACACAGAATGCATACTTGCATTTCAGCAAGCAACTGCTGCTTCAGAGTGGGGTTCATGCATGTCACTACACCAGAATTTTATGCCAGGTGATGTCCCAGTGTTCCAGAATGTACACTTCCAACAACCAAAAGACATTAATTCCCAGAAATCCCCTTGCTAGTAATTTTTCCCACATGTTCCAGTAAGAGCAAGCCAAGGAACCCTTTTCAACCTAGCCATTTTATACATTTTTAGAAAACTAGGAGATTTCACATACCAGTAGTAGTTACAGAGAAATTCACTAAATCTTGATGATCGGATACGACTGAAGCAAGTTACTGCCCATTTTCTGCAATGCCAGGTATCCTTATCTATCTTTTAAAGGAATATACTCAGAACACTGACAATATCTGAAGTGGTTATAAAGTTGTATGTGAACACAGACCAAAGTCCTCTGCCTGCTCCATACAGGACAGGAGAAACCTACTTGCTTCCTTGCAGTTGGCTCATGTTTTAGACATAAACTGTATCAATCTTTTTTCCATTTATATATAATCTCCTATTAATGCTTCTGAATTACTGTGAAAGCATAAGAGCCACATCCGGTTTGTTTCCCCTGCAGAGGAATACTCTCTGCTTTGCCAGATTTGCAGTGTAAGCACCAACTCTACCTTTATGCTTTGCAACTAGAATGGTCTAATTGCCAACTTTTTGTCTAGTGAGCTAACTTTTCAGTGCTGTCTTCTTTCAGGTGCTTAAGCCCATCCCATCTTTTAAGCAAATCCTCATCCTAGAATCATAGAACGGGTTATGCTGGAAAGGACCTCAAGATCATCCAGTTCCAACGCCCCTGCCACGGGCAGGGACACTTTCCACTAGACCAGGTTGCTCAAAGCCCCATCCACCCTGGCCTAAAACACTGCCAGTGATGGAGCATTCATAACTTCCTTGAGCAGCCTGTTCCAGTGTGATAGCCTGTTCCAGTAAAGTAAAGTAGACTTTACTTTGAACAAGGACAAGTAGTACCTGTAGGAGGCTTTTGTTTTAGACGCTGTGTAAGCTGTATCTCCTTGATGGATACTGCAGTCTCTTCAAGACAGTGGTTAGGTAGTTCTATGTACAGTCCAGGGGTGAAGGTAAGCAGGAACAGCTCTAAGGCTCTTGATTCTGGCCCAGGACTTCCGGGGACCTGGCCCTGAATAAGCAGACCAGTTCAGTCCAGAGATAGGCTGGAGCTGGACCCTCTATGCTGGCCAGGCTCATCCAACAGAGTTAAGATATTTCAGTGAGGGCTTGAAATCTGCAAGATCAGAGGATACGCACTGCTTGGGGAAGAAGGTGAAGGTGGAAAAAAGCAGGAACTCTTCAGAAGCAAGTATTTGCATCAGAAAAGCAGTACGGACATTCTGGCATTGTACTTTAATTTATGCAAAGCTTAATATGATCTGGATTCTTCTAGGAGTCTTCAGAGACTGGCACTACTGGCAGTGGACACTGAACTTATCAAGGCCTTTGGAAGAACTTCCCAATACATCCAGCCATTCATGAGTTATCTTTCCATGAATATTACTTGTGCTTGCTCACTTTGAAACACATTGGAAAGCTTCCTTTTATTCTAAGGAAGTCTGAGAGTGTTAGTTCATATCTTTTGGCTGCTTAGACTTGCTGCGTTTACCTAGTGGTTTGGCATTAAGGCATTTGTTTCCATTATTCTCTCCAGACTACTCAGTGATGCAGCATTTTCATCTTCCTGTTAAGACCAATACAGAAAAAATGAGTCCCTTAGACTACAATTTTCAACCCCTCCCTCAAAGCCAAGATTATATGTCCTAACATTTGTCTCGTACACATGTACAGTAGACATCCTACCCTGAATACTGCATTTTAAGCCACTTCAAACAGCAGCCGGTCTAGAACTGCATTTGTAAGTTACTATTGCTTGACCATAATGCCACGTACACCATGACCTCTCAAAACAGAATGAGTTTAAAATCATAGCAAGAGCTGTTTTACAGAATTGGCATGCATTTCAGGTTTAAATCAGTACTGTACTGGCATTCAAGAATTTCAGTCCCCATACAGACTGAGATGAACAGCACTTTTATTTATTTCAGTTACAAGAAGAAAGACAAGTAAACCTTACAACCAGAAAGGCAATGAAGGCCTCATGAGCTCAGTGATAATCATTTCATAATCTAGGCAACATAATTTGATTTCTTGAGATCACAAAGAAAGCATACCCCACTCTTGAACAACTTTTCCTTGTTTCTGTAAAGAAGTTTCCTGTCAACAGAATCAAGGACCACTGATGTACAAAGCCTACATTCACCCTCCCATTCCCCTCAAAAGGCTTTATTCCAAAAAAGTTAACATGCAGTCATGATCACAGCTAGAAGAGAGGGAAAAATTAGTCTGTCATCATATGAAGTTAAATTATGATGTGTTAATGAAATTAAATGAAGATACTTTCTCACATGGTAGTGTACTTCATGGGTAAAGAAACTCTCATCATTTTAAGCCAATGCTTATCTAACTATTGTAGTAGGGAGAAAACAGCTTCCATAAAAACTGATCCCCCTACCAAGCACTCTTAGATAAAAACTATGACTTAAGGGAAATGCTAGAAATATGTGGGAGAAATCACTATACAAAGTGTCAAGTGCAAACCCCCCCTTGCCTAGAATTCAGTGTATTTACTTAAGTACAATAGAAAAGACTGAAGTCAGGAGTGGTTGACAGTGGGATACAGTGCTACAAGTTGAGCATCATCCACTAAAGGACAAACCCAAGCATGCATGTACCCCACCACAAAGGGAAGATACCCTTGAGCTTCCTAACCTGCTCATTTCTGCCCTTTGCTCTAGTATTATCTTCTCCCTCATTACCAACAATTCCTGCACTCCTTTGAAGGGACCTCTTTAAATCCCCCCCCCCCAAATTCTAAAGAACACAGAACTGGAAGAAGAAAGGAAGAAATAGAGTTCATGATTCATCTCTTCAGTTGCTCTTCTAAGCTGTATCAGACCTAGAAAACATGAGGAAGTACTAGACCAAGTACTGTTCCATCATCCTTGAGGCAGACCGTAACTTCTTCAGTCAATCGCTAGCAGGTCAGTTTTGGTGCACAAGATGTTAATCAACTGAAAAATGTATTTTCACCCGTGCTGTATGTCAGTTCTCAGTCTCCCCTCACTTAAGTGGTCAGGGATACATTTATCACGCAGTACTCACAGAAAGTCTCAGAATTTCAGGCAGACCTATTCATTCCCAAGGAGTATCCTTTTGGCTCAGTGAAGACTTTTGAGTACTTTAGCTTACATTCATTCTGGAGGCAGCCACCATGACTCCATTTACCCAAAGTACTATTGTTAGTGGGGCTGTTACCATCTTGAAATTGCACTGTGAAGTTAACCAGCAATACAAAAGAGTACTTTTCAGTGTTTCCAGTGAAGGAGCTGAGAAGAAAAAATCATCTGTAAGAAACAATTGCTGCAATTTTATTTTAACAAAAGGGCAGATTTATTCATGTTTACAAACAAGTTTCAAAAACAAAAAGGAGAACATGTATGCTACCCACTAACAACCTTTCAAAATGCCAACAGCCCTCATGCTGCATGAAGGATTCTATAGATTAGAAAAAAAATAAAATAAAATAAAAATCACAGTTCCACTCACAGTTCACCAAGACAGCACTAAACTAACATGTTTAGACAAAAACAAAGGACTAAGATTCTGATGTATTTTGATTTAATCCATTTTGCCCGAGATAACAGAAATATTTCAAGCAAGTTCCATCACATATTGATGTCCTGCATTAAACAATCCTACTAAGTTCTGAACAAAAGTTATTCAGTATGTTTCTCAAAATTTTTAAAAATTAAACAATTGTTTCAAAACCATTAAGTAGTAAATGTATTTAAGAAACTAATTAGGACAGAGGCCATAACTTCATTAGAACACCACTGCTCATGTTTTTACAAAGCATTAGTGTTGTCTATTTGGCTATTAGTAGTAGCAATTTATCTACAATATTTAACAAGGTAAATTGCAGGCAAAATTTAGTACAGTTTCAATAGAAACACCCTTTTCCTGAAAATACAGCAGTATTTGAAGGACTAGTTTTTTTGTTTTGTTTTTTTATTTTTTCTCTGCATCATTTATAAGGAAGCTTCCCATCTATGAACAGGAACAAAAAAGTATCTACAAACCTTGTAAACAGATCTGTATCATTTATAAACATAAATAATCCAAATTATTAACAGCCAACAGCAGAAATTAAAGTATCAATTCAACGATCCAGGGCCTTCTTGCCCTTCCCAGTCTTCCCCTCAGAAAAGGATCATGATAAACTAAAGCTCTGCTAACACACTGTTCAGGACCATTCTTAAGTACAACAGATGATCCACAAGTCACTTATGCTGAGTTACTGTTTATCTGTCAGAGTTCATTATTACTCCCACCCCCAGAAAAGCACCCTCCAGTCTGGCAGAAAGCTTTTGTTTTTTAAAAAAATAAATCTACATTCGTACAAGTGTGTCTTCTGTTGAAGTCCGAGACAAGAATATCATCTTGTCCATCATAATGTGTGAAGAGACCCAGTTTCAATTTCTTTACAATGCAGCTAGTGTGTTAACATTCAGCTTACAATCAGAGTGATGTTTCCAAACTATGTAGCGGGCTCCCTGGGGATGAAGAGGTAGCAGACTTGTTCATGTCTGTTGTAAGGTGAATTCCACTGTCAACCGCATTGTTATTTTTATTGGGAGAGGGTGGGGGAGTAGAGTTGCGTTTTGTTGGAGCATCATCTTCAGCATCAGTATCATCAATAAGGGGAATATGAGGCTCGGAGTCTTCTATTCTAAACTCAGGATGCGTCATAAAATTGTGAATTGAACTTCGTGTCTCAGGTTTCTCTAGCCCCTCGTACAAGGAGCTACGAAATGCATTCACCACTCGGATCTGTGAACGAAGAAGAAAGGTTGTGAGAATGCTGCAGATTTCTGGCAATGGCATGGTTCTTATGAGTTTGAATCCACAAACAGCTAGACATGGGTGAATCGGATTTGTATATGATGCAGTGGAACTTGCAATAAACTGTAAGAAATGAAGAGCGTTTCAGTAGAGCACTGCCAGTCTACACAGTAGGAATAAAAATTGTAAAAGCACTGCAAAAAGCTGAAGGGCCTAAAGATTCAGACATGGCACTAGAATTGTTCAATTGCTTAACATGGGCTAAGCGTTTTTCAGAAGTGAGGGCAACATTTATTAACTTATTCACAAATTAAATAAATCTCAGTGAGTGTTTTATTGAATACTTGGGGGAGGTGGGAGTGGGGGAAAAGGGGAGAGGCTGAAAGTAAGTTAGAGGATAAAAGGGTTACTAATTCTCATGCTAGGAATTAGGATGTCAACTGACTATGAAAAAGCCAAGCAAGTGTAAGCCAATGTCACAATGACCGGACACTTACAAAGAGTCATGCAAAAAAGAATACCACTGTAACAGCTGTAAATATTCGAGTATATACCCATTTACCACACTACAGAAAGCTCCTTACTCAACAGTGCTTTGGAAACTTAAGACCAGAACTAGGAAACTGAATACTGTATTGCACAACTAAGTAGCCGTGACAGCTTGTAACTTGGAAGAGACTATTCAAGTAGCACGAAGTATGAGAAAAGCAGGTGATCAGCCTTTGCTCAAGGTCTTCAATTTACACTGAATTCATGGACAAAATTCCCAAGGTGAGTATTATTTCAAGTCCTTTCATTGCTTAACTAATGTTTTTCAAGTCAGAAAGCTAAGTTTACAGAATGCATAACATTCTAGAGTGAAATTAGATAAAAGTACACCTCCATTTTGCAAGTTGTGCATGTCCAGGTTTGACTTGAATTTAAGCATTCCAAATTGTGAAATGATGAAACTCCCTGCCCACACCCCCTTTTCCTCCCACACCCCACACGTTTCCCTCACCAACTACAGGAATAAAGGACTCATTCTTGAACTGATAAAACAAAAACTTAGGCAGCAGTCAGTAACTCCTCTGTCCAGCCCTTTTGTCAAGATACAGTTTTCCCCTTCCGTTGACTCCCTGTCCAGTTCTCAACATCTCTACCCTGGGTAGCTCCAGCAAAGCAGTTTCAATCCTAAAGCTCCTCTGTTGTACAGTAAGCAGCAGAGCAGCTCTGTAGTAAACAAGAACTTACTGTTACAAACAGTAAGTCCAATTTAAAGATATTTTTAAGTACATCCAAGATGACTTGTTTCAAGTCAAGAAATGCGTCATGACTAGTGCTTCCACAGAGTTCCTTGGTAGTAAAAATAAAGTGACTTCCAGGTGAAGGGATGAAGGTGGAAGGTCAAGCAGATCAAGGGCAGACTTCAAAGCAGCTAAAATACACCAAGCAACCTCACTGAAAACAGAAGTGCTCCCCAAAAGCAACGCATTATCAAATTTGTTAACACAGAATCACTGCAGATAAGAGCCTTAGGTCCTGACCGTGTTCTTCGGCCTCCAGAAACAGCGCTGTTCCCCACCCCTACTCCCTCAGAGTATTTGCACAAAGAATTTCACTCAAAAGCATTGTGGCCCCATTTTATACTACAGGTACACAGCTGAGCCCCATTACCCATGAAAACTGGGGCGGGAGCAGAGGAGGGCACACAGACAAGGAGGGGCATAACTACAAATACAGGGAGGGCATGGAATACCCTGAATGTGCTTGAGAAGCAAAATACTACGACAGCAGCTAGTACTTTACTGTTCATCACACGAAAAACTAGAGCACGGTGTTAAGGAGTTGGCGTGTTACATGAGCTTTAAACAAGTCCAGCAAGCTGCATAAACTGTCTTGGCACTTACCAAGAAAATTAGCAGTGACAATGCCAGACTGAAAGTTTGCAATGCCTTTATTTGGCGTGTTGCATCCCACTGTGCCACTGATTTATGTGGCAGAATGAAATACGACTGCCTCGTGGGACTGGTTTTTCATTGCTTACAGATGGTAAGTTAGAACATAAGCAGAAATGGAAAACAATTTTGGCTTAACAGGGCAGATGTAATTGTCATGGGAATATAAGCATACCCACAATAAAGTCTTGATTCCCATGCAGAATGCATACTAAACAAGTGGTTTAGACACTCGTAAGAAGCCAGGATTCTCAGAGAATCCAGCCATGAAGGCAGAAATCAGACCATCAGCATTTTAAGTTTTACTTAAAAAGGGAAAATCTAGTGTTTTGAAGGCTTTATTTTCAGCTACTAAAGACAATTAGATGAGAGGGATAACTATAAATAAATTGCATAAGTGAGGAGCAAACAAGACAATTTATTAAGTGTAATTTATGCTGTCATCGGACCTTTCTCATACTAGTACCAGAATGGCAAGGAATGCAGTAAGCACTCCAAATCCTTCTAAGCCAGATGGCTGCTTATGAGTTGCAACCTCACTTCACAGGAACAGCTGAACAATTTTCCAACAAACACCTCTGAGAAAGACATATAATGAAATAACACATCTGCTTCCCATTAATACTTATTAGTTATCAAAAGTTGCTCTCCTGGAGGGTGTAGAAAAGGCTGTACTACTTAGTAAGGATCAAAAACTAGTTCTCTGCTATTGTAGCTCCGTATCTGCATTGGTCATTTGATGCAATGAGATGCTGCAGTGCCCTTTAGATTCTGATCAAATAGCAACATGGCATGAAGTTGCTCTCTAGAGAATTCTGAATGTCTAATTAATGTTCTTGAGTGTAGTTAGGGATACAGGTTACTAATTAGCATTTTAACTAGGAGATGCAATCCTGTGCATCCTTAGTGTTAAATCTACTTTTCACATTCCATGTTCCTGAGGCATGTGAATTTGTGAGCCGAGCTTCTCAACACTACTGCAAGGTAGGAAAATACCTGTCTCACCAATGGAGAACAAGTACAGAGGCAAATACTTCTTGATACTCACACAGGAATTCTGGCCAAAGCCAAAAAAAACTCCAACCCACTCAAATGAAAAAACAAGAGAGAACATTTCTTTTAAGACAGCTCCTGAAATTAAGGGTCTTCATCCATCTGGTAATCTGGAAGTTTAAAAAGAAAGCAGGGGGAAGAAAAACCCTCTCCATTTTAAAAAGTAATTATTTAACCAGTCTCTAGGAAATTTAAGAAGGAAGTTAAACATGGAATATATAATTAAGATGGAAAACTTTCAGCAATAGGTATTAGCTATCAGTATTCAGCTACAACTGTTACGCATCTTCATGCAGACTCCAGAGTTTAAACCTATATATGTGAGTAATTAAGTCTCTAGCCTCTACAGAGAGGAAGGCTGTAACCAAAATGCCACTTAGAGGACAATATGAAAAGGGCAGAATTAAGGTGAGGCAAACTTTACTTTGACTGATGGCTTATGAACTGCTGCCAGAAGAACCTAGAGAGAAAAACCCCTTCAGATTTGAATGGAAATTTGAACATTCAATGTTTAAACCTTATTTTCCTTTTATATTAGCTAATGAAATGTTTCTTCTGACTTGCATGCATTTTAGAAGCAATGTTTCGCCACCTGAATCCTGATGTTGAGAAAGTTGTGTTATTCAGTTAAAAAGGTCCAACAAAAGCAGAGATTCAGAAGCTCCTTACAGGCTACAAAGAAAATGTATTTAGTGTTCCATGTTCTAACTACATTCATACTTCTAACATACCATTTGCTTTCCCATCAGCTTGTTTACCTTAAGTATCACTTGTGCTGCAGTGCAAGACATCTATTTTGTTGACCTGGGTCCATGACTATACAGTTAATTCACTTACTCAATGTAAGTCACCCTAAGAGGCATATACTCGAACATTTACAACAGTTTTCCCATTTTATCTTAAACATCCCCCTGTACACAAATGGATGAAGGCACAGGATGTGCAGGCTCACAGCTTTCACATTAAAGTCTTTTGCTGAAACTGTTCCACCTGTTCTCAGCCCTCTAAGAAAAAAAAGTCTTGAGGACTCCACTTTGTGGAAGAGCTCTATAAAAGCCTGAACGATGATTTTAAGTACTAAGGAGAAAATGAGAAACGTTAGGTACGTGAATTAGGCAATGTTAATTTCATGCACTTTAGGAACACACACTCACACCCCACAGTAGTAGAAGCAGTAGTAGAGGAAAACACTACATGTGTAGGGGTAGAAATATTTGTTACATCATGGTGCTGGCTGGCGATGGAGGGTTGCCGCCTTAGAGCCCCCTGAATGGTACTTCCACTCTGGAAAGCATTCACTACATCCATCTGCAAGGAATCAGAGATTGTGACAGCTTGCTCAGCAAGAGAGAGAGAGAACAAGAGAAAGGACCATCCCATCTATAACACACAAAAAGTAAAGAGAAAAGGCACTTTTTTTAATAGAGATACACAGGCAAGAGTTGCATTTAGAGCTGAAGAAAACAGAGGACTGAGGGATTGCACATCCATCCATACCCCCTTTTGACAGTCTCAGTCACACGAGTTAGAACTGCCACCTTAGTTAAATGACTGGAGATGGAGAGAATTCCCTCATAACACCCTCTTTGTCCTACCTTTTTCAACACCATACCTGAGTTTGTATCCTGTTTAGGCCCCTAAACCACAAGATCTGACCACGACGTAATTCCCTCTCAGCATGATCAATCTCCTCTACGTCTTCTGCTAGTTCTTCTTCAGGAATCTCTTCCTTTTGTGTTCCATGACCAGCTTCTTTAAGGAATTTCAGGCGGCTGGTCGGAATTGTTGAAATCAACTATCGGTGAATGAAAAATATGAATCAGGATTATTCTTTAAAAAAAAGAAACAAAATAAAAGAAAAGAGTAGTACCAGATTTAAGGCTTAACATAATATTCTACATACAATTAGCAAAGTTGAAAAAACACAAAATCTGTAAATGGGATAAATGCACCAATGTAGAGGGATCTCTCCACCTGAAAAGCTGCAAAGCTATGAATATCCTTACCACTTCAACTAAGATGTGAAATACAAACCTGGACTACAGAAAATCCTTGCTAGGGACACAGAATTCCACTTTAACATTACTTGACTATGCCAGGAAGAAGCAGTACTGGAGTTGTAAGAGCCATTAATTCTGTAGACTGTGCTTGTATCTACAGCTTTCAGATGAACTTAATGTGTTACCTCAAATGAGGTACATAATTTAATGAAAGTAGCCACAGTTAATTCAGAAATATAGAATAGACATGCATTTTTTTGTGACCTGGAAGGTAGCAATCCATTTGCAAGGTGAGTGATGTTTCCAAAACTCTACCTCAAACTGTTACTTTGCTACTTGGTATATGCTAGTTCATCTATCTTAAACAAAACAAAAGCTGCATATGGCTGTTCCAGCTTTCCTTTTCATCCCCACCTTCAGGGCTATTCTGGTGAACTATGTAGTTAAGGGGGAGTCATCTTTTGATACGTCCCATATAGCAGATCCAGATCAGTTCCAAAACTGCTTTCCTTGATCATCACAAACCTAGACGACCATTTCAGCAGCTGCAGAGGAAAAAGACTGCTCCAAAAGCAAGATAAACAGCCCTTTACACTGAAATTGCTACTATGAATGCTCTCAGATCACACTTCAATTTCTATTACTCCCAGAAAATCAGAAGTTCTTTGGCTTTAATGTGATGCTAGAGCAGCATGAACTGCAGCAGGGAAGCTTTGCCCCTGCAAGACACTTTGGGTCAAAGGTATTTCGAGCCACCTTGATTTTCTTCTAGGTTACTTTTGAACCTTAGAGTGACTCTATTTGATTTTATTTTTTTTAATAATTAATTTTCGAGAGAACCTTATTAAAAAGCTTATATGCAACTTGTAGATTATGCATATA